GGTCCAACTTATGATTTTTTGACTTTACAATGGTGCAAAAGCGATACGCATTCAGTAGAAACACTACTTCGAACTGTGAATTTCGATCTTTTCCCGGGCTAGTAATATGTGGACCAAAAGATATTCTCTTCCCTTCTTGGGCAGAGGCAGCAAGTCACAGCTCCCAGTGGATGACTGGGGTCGCTGGCTAGCAATCACCAGGGTAAACAACCCATACACTTACAACCATTCTGTTTTTCACTTTTACTATAGTATTCAATAAAGTACATGGGATATACAACACTTTCCTATAAAACAGGCTTTGTGTCAGACTGTAGACTAATGTAAGTGTTCAGAGCATGCTTAAAGTAGGCTAAGCTATGATGTCCGATAGATTAGGTGTATTAAATGCATTTTCAAATTATGATACGTTCAACTTCAGTCATGTTTATGAAGATGTAACCCCATCGTAAGTCAGGAAGATCTGTACGTCATCTCTGTGAAATGGTGGAAACATTTAATTTTGACGTTTCACTTCTGTGGCATCATGAGAGGCTAAAAACTCTTGCAAGAGTAGAAATACGAAAGACTTCCCTAGTGGCACAGTAGCTAAGAATCTGCCTGCCAGTGCAGGGGACACAGGTTCGAGCCCTCGTCCGGGAAGATCCCACATGCAGCAGAGCAACTAAGCCCCTGTCCCACAACTACTGAGCCTGCGCTCTAGAGCCCGCGAGCCACAACTACTGAAGCCAGCGCGCCCTAGAGCCCGTGCTCCGCAACGAGAAGCCCGCGCACCACAATGAAGAGTAGCTCCCGCTCGCCGCAACTAGAGAAAGCCTGTGCACAGCAGCAAAGACCCAACGCAGCCAAAAAAAAAAAAAAAAAGTAGAAACAGGAAATCTGTAAGTTAAGGGGTTGGACCAGCCGTATACGAAGGTCCTTTCTAACTTGAACACTCCATGACCCAAGTCATCATACTGTGACCCCTTTCTTTTACAGGAGAAGCAAGTCAGGGCAGAGAGGTACATGGCACTCCAAGGGTCCAGCTCTGTCTGGTGATGGAGCCTGGACTGCTGATTACCCATATTCTCACCTGAATTATGCCTAGAAACTCTTAGAACCAACAGAGCATGTGGTCAGCATGGGGAGATAAATGATACATTTCACCTCATGGTGGGTATTTCACTTAGTTTAGCTCATAGACAGATAAACTAGCCTCAAGTTTAAAAAAGAACTTCAAGCTCAGAAATTCTTTAAACCATCATTAGTTACTTCAACCACAGAATAGCACAATACAGATAGTAGTACTTTGCATTAACTCTCTAAAGAAGCCAAAGGAATGAACACAGTAACTTGAAAAGAAAACGAACATCTTTGTAGTTTGAAAGACCTTCAAAATACAGAAAACAACTTTCAAAACAAATTATTGCTGTCATCCAGTTTTCCTAGCAACAGGATCTTTTGTAAGCAAATCAAGTGTCTGCCCATTTTAAGGGGTGCCAGAACAATGAGGAAGCTTGGTTTTTCTATATTCTGACCATTTCATTCTTATAACTGAGAGAGATTACAGAGGAGCACAGAAGTCTACAGGCATTTTTTACTGTCCCTTAAATCTGGGAAGGCCCTCAAATTAGATAAACAGGAAAATGTACTGCCCCCGAGGGGAAAGGTGAATTGCTCTAGGTAGCAGGCGTATACTGAGTTGATTTTCAATCATTTCTGAATTTATACTGATCCATCTAGATGTCAGCCCTGTGCCCCCATAGCCAATGGTACTTACCATTCACACCCAACAGGTTTAGGGCTGCAACTTATGGCTATGATGCTGACCAAAGTTTGCTGATCCCAACCACTATTACCTTGGCTTCAGTTGGTACCACCCCCTTTCTAATAAGCAGCAGCTGTGTATACACGTATTGGGCCAAAGGCCAGGGCTGTTGTGCTAAGGAACCCTGGGTAAATTACTAAAATCTCCCAGGCTCTCAGTTTCCTGTTTCCCTCATAGGTGGAAGGGCATTAATAATCTCACATATTGTACGTCTCTAAAACCAAAGTAAATATAAATATATACAAGAATACTTGAAAGAGCTTTGTAAATTATAAAGTTATAATACATTATTTAACCAGCTGAGTTGGCAAAAGACTATCTCTGACATAACAAGACTGCCCCTGGGGATATATGAGTTCATACATGATCTGTCAGAAAAGTCTGTTAATAAAATATTTACTTTGTTATAAGGTAGAAACTAACAAACCATTGTAAAGCAATTATACTCCAATAAAGATGTTAAAAATAAAGTATTAAAAAAATTTAAATACACAATAAATGCTTATTAAATTCAAAAGACAAGTCAATGAAAGCACTATAGATATAGATAGGTAGAATTTTTCGGTATTCTAGCAGTTAAAATAGCACATTACTTGACTCTCATGCTGGAAATCACATGGGTGATTTTTTAATGCCAGTTTTACATATGCCCTCACAGGCCTTCAGGATAAAGGTGCTCGTTAACCATTAATTATGTGCTCAATCCATTTCCCTAGTAATACTTGAACGAAAACATTTTTTATTTGTATGCATTTCAATCTAAAATGCCCAGATCAACACAGTCCTTCAACTGCAGCCATATTCTAATTTACAAAAAAAGAGCAGAATGGAATGGAAAAGCCCACTATATCTGTTAGGTAGTTAGACATTAGCAGCAAGGAGGTGACAGTGGCAAAAAGAGGGGACTAGTGGAATTACACCCCGACCATCTGACGACCCTCCCCTGACTCCACCCAGAACGGGGAAAACTATGGTCGTGTGGCGAGCAATTTATCCTGATAAAGAGGGAGCACAGTAACACAAGGGGACTTCCCCGGGCTGTGCGTGCCCAGACTAGACAGGCGTGTAACCTAGATACAGTAAACCAAACTCATTATACCATCATTATAATAAAATCTGCAGGTGGTTTTGCCATCCCCCTTGGGCTTTTCTTAGCGAATCAAGGGTAAGGGCATGCGCAATAAGGAACTTGTTACCTAGCTCGAGGCTGTCAATCAAATAATGACCTCCTGTCACTCACCCACGATTGCGCCCCGCCTCCTCGCAGAGCGCTCCTTATAAACACCCTTAAGCCTGCACAGGAGCTCCTGGCTTCACTTCTTAGAAACAGCCCACTCTCCCTCTGAGAGTGTAATTATGCTTTAATAAAACTCTGCTTTGTGCTTAAGCCCTAAGTGGTAGTCTGCAATTCTTTGCATGCTATCACAAGGACCGAGATTGCTGGTCCGGGTCTTCCGGTGACCTCCTCGGTTGAAGCTATTTTGACACTACCCACGCCAACCCGGTAACATAACTACAGCTATCTACCACTACAATGAAAAAGCAGAATAAAACAACAAAATTAAAGGCAAATAGTACTTTGTCAAACACGGACAACATGTTCTTAAAAATTTCCCCAATTTCCCAAGCTCACTAATACTCAAAGTAACATAATACCCTTTTCATACAGGATGACTGTATCATCTAAAGCATAACCAAAACCCAAACCCGATGACAGAATGCTTATATTAAAATATCAGTCAGTTATAATTGACTAATTTAAAAATTAAATTTTGCAATATGAAATCTGTACAATATAATTTGAAATTGTGAAGGAAAATAAGAGTATGAGAAATACACTATTTTCATCCCTTGAAGACATGAAATTCTTGCAGCAGGATAAGCCTGCAGAATGTAATGAAATAAAATCTGAAAATTGCGACAGTATCTTCAGTTAACTTAAAACAGTTTGAATTGAAATCAATCTCTCTCTTACATTTTAAACAGGCCCTAAATTTCTTCTCCAGCAGATCTAAATTTTCTTGCAACAAAATCAGACTACTGTGGGAAATAGGTAATCTTTTTAAAGATTACATAACTTCTTTCTAAATGATATCGACATCTGCGGCTAAATCAAAACCAGTGAAACTGAAAATAGAAATGGAACTGCTAGATATCCATTCTTAACAAAGATGGAAATTATTTCTTAATTTCCAGAGAGCTGTATCTCAGCAATGACTTTCTCAATAACTTAATTAGAATTATCAAATAGCAAACACTTGATGCTAATTAGCCAAAGTAAACCAGGTGAGTCATATTACAACATATATAGAACAACTGCAGTAAAGACAAGGCCGAAAACCTAGCTACTTTTTGAAGGTTAACTTTTCTCATACTCAATATTTTCCAGGTTCAACTGAAATGTGATGCATCTCAGACTCAGGAGCCTGTATAAGCGTATTTATCTCAACTACCAGGATTACAGCTGAAAAATAAAAAAACTATCTGAATACCTGGTCTGAAAAGCCTGCAATAATATTCAATTTGAGAAACAAACGACCACCGAACAGAAAACTCAAGAAAGCGCCGGCTTCCACCACCTCGCCGCACCTTGCTCCAATCTTTCGCTCTTCATTTCCATTCCATGGTTAGTTTTCAAGATAAAACGGGAAAAACCTGGTGGAACGGATTTTTAGAAATAAATACTACAGGTGAAGCAGAAATAAATTGCTCCAAGGAAGTTGTCCACCCACTCATTTACATACAACCAAAAAATACACCCACATGTATTCCAATCGGTGAAGATGCAACCTCGTGATTTGCAGAGGAGACTGGACTTATAACAAATCCCAGAGACGGCTACTCCCCCAATCGAAAAAAATCATGTGGCTCTTCATCCAGGCAGCCTCAGAAATGCGGGCTCCGCACCTCGTGAGGTGCAGAAATTCAAACGAATCCCTGCCACTCACAAGTGCAGCATCTCCGGGATGAGGCAGGGCTCGGGAGCAGGGACCCACCCACATTCCGCTCTACTCCCGGAAGAGTCCAAGCAGCCCCAAGCTGGGGAGTCCGGACCGTTCCACCCAGAGACCGAGAGGAAGCAAGCGGAGCCGGGCGAAGGAAAGGCGCTGGAGGGGAGGGGGGGCAGGGGGGCGGGCGCTAGCCGGGGGGGTGGGCAGGGAGGCAGGGAAGCAGGCAGGGAGCGTGGGCTCACCTGACGCGATGGTCGGTCAGGCGCGCGCGGCGCCGCCGCCTCTGCTGCTGCTCTTCGGCCACGGGCCACAGCGCCCCCGGACACAGCGCCCCAGCGCAGCGGAAGGGGCGACGGTGGCCGGCGCCCGCGTTCCTCCGCCCCCGGCTCCGCAGCGCCGGCTCCGCCGAAGGCGTTAACAACTGCAGGCAGCGCCTCAGCGCTCGCCGCCTCACCATCCTGGGGGCGAGCCGGCGCCGCATCCGAGGCCCACTGGGCGCGCCCACGCAGCGCGGGGCCCTGGCCGAGCTAGATTCCGCTCCACGTTGCCCGGTCACTCACTCATTGTGTCCTTCGAATCTGGCAGCCCCGCCAGCGTCAGCCCCGCGCCGGCCGCCGCTCAGGCCTTTACCAAGATGGCCGCCCACCCCTCCCAGGCCCCGGCGCCGAGGCCTTGTTGGTTACAGGAGGCGCTGCGGCACGTTTTGCCCTTCCTGGCCGGGCCCATGCCTCTCTCGCACTCTGCGCAAGCCCTCCTGACACCGAATTTGCTGTCCTGTCCTAGACCCAGAAGCTAAATTTCAGATCGCGTGAACAGCTTCTAGAACACCCGCTCTAATTGCTAAAATTAAATGGGATCTTGGGGGCCTCTCCTGGCCTGCGTGATCGTAGTAGACCAGCACCTGGTAGCAGGATACTTACAACCTATGGTGCCACGAGCCTCGTAGCGAAGAAACCAAACTAATTTGAAGTCTGTACAGTAGGTATTGAATATTCATGGCAAGCATTGCCTTGTCACGGTCTGTGCTCATTATTAAAAAGATGTCACAGCTTCCTGGTATACACAGTTCTCATCTAAATTTGTTTTTTAAAAAATCTCAGGATGATGACAACAGAGCACCAAATTATGATTCCCAGCTTTTCCCAGGTTTTCCTTTTTGAACTACAGGATGAAATTTACTGTTTCAATAAGTAATTTAAGTATAGACAGATGGAAATAGAATTCAACAATGGGTGGCTGGGCAAAGAGATTCCTCTATTATAAGAGTCCACGGGGGTGTGTCCACGGGCCAGAAAGAAATGCCCTCTGTCTGGGACTGCGAATGCAGATACGACTGGTGGAAAATGCAAACCAAACTTTTGCAATTTGAAAGTGACCGCGCCAGTGTAATAGCGTAGGAATGTAAAGAAGATTATGCCAGGTATGGACTTTCACCCCCTCAGGGTAGCTTGCAGCTGTTGCTGAATCTTATTCACTGAAGTGTGATTAAGAGCTGCTTGCTCTTGGGCTGGGCTGAGACTGCACTTACTCAGTGGTACTTCAGGTGCAACAGGAAAAAAAGACACAGCGCTACAAACCCAAACCGTAAATTGAAGCTACTGTTAGCTTAGGAGGTCTTCACAATGCTCTTGGTTAAGGAACTTTAAAAAGATGCCTTCTGTTCCCCTCACCCCAATTCTTTATGATGATTTTCAAACATACAGAAAATAGAGATGCCTTTTTGTTACACCGTTTGAATAAATTGCAGACAAAATCAATCACCCCTAAATATTTCAGCCTGCCTCTTCTAAAGAAAGGACATTCGCCTCAATCACAATACCGTTAGCACACCTAAGGAAACAATTCCCTGATACCATTTAATGTTCAGTCCAGTTTCAAGTTTGTGTGATTGTACCAAGAATGACTTTTATAGCTTTTTTCTGAACTAGGCTTATTAACTGCCTAGGCTCATGCATTGCATTTGCTTATTATGTTGTTTAAGAAGCAATCTGAAACGTTCACTTGATAACTCTTCTCTACAAACTTACAGATAAATGGAGACAAATGTTTGCAGCTTGTTTTTCACTGAGACCAGGTGCTTTTGATAAGCACATTTATGTAGACCAGGAAAGTCTAGGAGGAATGAATAGTAACCTTTTAGTACAACAGAGATTATAATTGAAGCTGTATTAATGTTTATGCTTTCTAAACAAACTTTTATGTAGTTTACTACATAAACTTTATGGATTGTGTTGTAATTTCTACTTGACTTCCAAAGCTTAATTTTTCTAGACAATGAAAAGCTGTTTAGTAAAACAATTTCTATCACTCCAGGTAAAACCTCTAGCTTGCCCTGCTTCACAGTACAGAGCAGAATGAACACTGTGCCTTTCACTCATGGTTTAATTTTAGATCCTGACCTGCTGAACTGGGTTTTATTTGTCCTTCCTTCTTACGCCACCCCTAGGAAGTCAGGCGTTCAGCATATAACTGTTTGTCTTTTAAACTGTCACTGTTAAAACAACAGGCCTAAAATGGAGTCACTTATGCTAAGCTCCACATCACCAAATGGAGACTCAGAATGTCACCCTCTCCCAGAATAGGAATCTAAAATCAGTCAATCAGGAATCACCTGGTCAGCACTAGTTAATCGGCCTGATAGGCCCATGCCATCCCCTAAAGGAAAGTGACCTGTCACAACCAATCCACTTTCTGCTATTATAACTTCCTGGTCCACTCCCTTCTGCCTGTAAAGGTCTTTCATTTTGTACAACTCCTTGGAGCTTCTATCTGCTAAATGAGATGCTGCCCAATTCATGTATCATTGAAAAAAGCCTATAAGATCTTTAAAATTTACTCAGTTGAATTTGTTTTAACATTACTTCATTTTTAAATGTTAATTAATGCTGTAAAGAAGAGGGGCAAATTTACACAGTTCCCTTAAAGTGGCTGGTGGCCAAGGTAACGTTTCTGGAGACTAGTATTAAATGAGCTTATTTTTTTAAGATTTTTTCGATGTGGACCATTTTTTAAAGTCTTAATTGAATTTGCTACAACATTGCTTCTGTTTTATGTTTTGGGTTTTTCTTTTTTTTTTGGCTGCGAGGCATGTGGGATCCCAGCTCCCCAATCAGGCATCGAACCCGCAACCCCTGCATTGGAAGGTGAAATTCCAACCACTGGATTGCCAGGGAAGTCCCAAATGAGCTTATTTTAAATACTTCACAAAATGTTAGTTAAATTACTTCTGGGAAACCACATATAAACCAATTTTAGCACAACAGCTCATCTGTAAAGTGAGTTCTGCAATCAGTACTGTCCTTTCCCAGCTCCAGGCCTAAAGGCACAGAGGACTAGAGCACAGCATGACTACTTACTAGAGGGCTTTAATTCAATGTGTATTTATAGCAGCACCTGTGGAATTCAGTTAACTACTGAGTTCACCTCCAGTTAAATCAAAATTTATTTGCATGATCATTAACAATCTATAGATAACTCCGAAAAGCAATAAGGCAGCTAACTTCTAAATCAGTGCTCTGCCATGAACTACCTCTTCGACCTTGGAAAATACCCGTCCCACCTCACCAGGCCCCCCGCTCCTACCCTCCAAAATGACTGAGTTTCCGTGGCCACTTGCAGTTGTAACATTTGGTGGCTCAAGATTTTGGGGGAAAATATGTGAAGACAGCATGCTGATGACAGGGGGAGTTGGATTACATTAGGCCAATGGTCAGGAAAATTTGACCTGAGGGCCAAATCTCGCCTGCCCCCTGGTTTGTTTTGTTTTTGAGTCAAACTATTTTTTTTTTTCAGAATATAAAGTCCTCAACATGTATATTATAGTGATACTTTTTTACTTCTTGTATTGGGGTAAAAAAACACATAACATAAAAATGGTTAAGGTGGTAAATTTTCAATGTACAGTTCAGTAGCATTAAGTATATTCACATTGTTGGGAAACAGATCTCCAGAATTTTTTCATCTTGCAAATCTAAAACTCTATACCCATTAAACAATACCCCTTCTTCCCCTACCCCCTGGCCTTGGTAACCACCATTCTATTTTCTGTTTATGTGGATTTGACTATTTAAATACCTCATCCAAATGGAATTATCCAGTATTTGTTTTTTTTGTGACTGACTTACTTCTCTTAGCGTAATCTTCTCAAGTTTCATTCATGTTGTATTGCAGCATGTGACAAGATTTTCTTCCTTTCTTTAAGGCTGAATAATATTCCATTTGCCATATTTTATTTATCCATTCATCCATCAATGGACATTTGGGTTGCTTCCACCTCTTAACTACTGTGAATGGTGCTGCTATGAACATGCGTGTGCAAATCTCTCTTCAAGACCCTGCCTCCCATTTTTTCACCATATACCCAGAGGTGGGATTACTAGATCATATGGCAATTCTCTTTTTTGAGGAACCTCAACACTGCTTTATTGATCTGAAACAAACAGACTGCCAGATATTTCTCCAGCAAAGATGGACTTGGTATCAGCAGAGAACTGCAGTTCAGGGTCTGCAACCATGGTGAGCCATGTGCAAGTCTCCGTATAGCAAGGGAAGGAGCACACTTTTATAGAGGAGGAAAGGAAGTTGGGAGGGCTCAGTAAACAGAGAGTCCATGACTTCTCATTGGCTGAATCCTTGTCAGGAAAGTAGAAAGTAGTCTTTCTTCTTCCTGTCGGGCTCTACTACCATCGCAGGGTGAGAGAGCTCTCCCTTCTGGTCTCCCAACTCTATGTAATTGAGGTTTGCGTTTATTAAATTTTTAATACTTTCCATAGTGGCTACATCATTTTACAATTCCACCAACACCAAGCAAGTGTTTCAATGTCTCCATAGCCTCATCAACACGTGTCATTTTCTGTTTTCTAGATATTAGCCATCCTACTGGGTATGAGGTGATATCTCATTGTGATTTTGATTTGTATTTCTCTGATGAGGAATCTTGAACATCTTTTTGTATACTTGTTGGCCATTTATATATCATCTTTAGAGAAGTGTCTATTGAAGTCCTGTGCCCATTTTTAAATTGAGTTATTTGATTTTTTGTTGTTGAGTTATATGATTCTTTATATATTCTGGGTATGATTTGCAAATATTTTCTTCCATTCCATAGGTTGCCTTTTCACTCCATTAGCTGTGTCCTTGATGCACTGAAGTTTGTTTGATATAGACCCATTTGTCTATGCTTACTTTTGTTTCCTGTGCTTTTACTCTCATATCTAAGAAATCCTTGCCAAGTCAAATGTCATGTTTTTCTTCTGTTTTCTTCAGTAGTTTTATAGTTTTAGGTTGCCACCTGTTTTTGTATGGCCTGTGAGCTAAGAATGACTTTTTTACAGTTTTACATGTTGGGGGAAAAGAAATCAAAATCAAAAATAATATTTTGCAATACCTGAAAATTACGTAAGGTTCAAATTTCAGGGTTCATAAAAAAGCTTTATTGACATAAAGCCACATTAACTCATTTACATATCACCTGACTACTTTTGCACTACAGGGGGCAGAGCTGAGTTGTTGCAACAGAGACATATGACCCACAAAGCCTAAAATATTTACTATCTGACCTTTTACCAAAAGTTTGCTGACCTCTGCGTTAGACTATTTTGAATCATGAAACTTTAGATGCATTTAAAAAGGAAAAGTGAAAGAGGAAACCAAAGTCACCAATACATATGTATTTTGTGATTAAGAAAAATTATTAGATGTCCAGGGGTTTTTTGAACTTTTATATTTGAGTTTATTCTTCATTTAACTTTTAAAACACCAGTTTTAACTTTAAAAACACTGCTTGTGTTGAATATAGACTTCAATTTTTAATTCTTATTAGACTGTC